TATTGCATTCTTTTTTTTAATAATCTTGTTTCTGTCTGCTTGTTTTAAACTTCTATTAATGTTTTTTATTGCAGCATTACTGTTTGTATATATCTCTATTTACTTCTTTTTTAGTTTTGTTAAAATTGCTATCTAGATTGTTACCAAGTCTGCTATTGTTAATGTCTGCTATCTTTTTAATCCAAGTGCTATCTCTTCTTTTAACTATTTTTGCATTTTATTTGTCTAAACCTATCCTATACTTATATTACTTCTAGTTACTAATTTTTTGCTAACTTTTATATTAGTTGTCTATCTGTATATATTATATATTTGTTCTTATTTCTTATTATATTTTTTTAAGACTTCTATTATTTTTTGTCTAATATTTTTTTTAGTTTTTGTTATCTAATAATCTCTATTTTTAGCTTTTCTACAATTATAAAATCTTCAAACTTTTGCTCTTTAGTTTCTAATCTGTTTATCTTTGTTTTCTTTGCAATTTAATTTGATTGCTGTCCTTCTTTATTAATGTATTTGAAATTATATTGCTATTTCTGTTTATTTTTATTTATTGTTGGCAACTATTTTTTATTTGTTTTTTTTTTCTTATATAATCTTTGTATTTATTTATCTTGGTTATCAATTTGTTTTTTTTGCTTTGCATTTGCCAGTATTTAATTAATATTTTTTCTTTTTCTTTTTAATTATTTTTTCTAACTGTCTATAATTTTGTATACTATATACTATTTATTCTTTTCTTTTTTTATTTTCTGATATATGTTCTTATTTAATTTGCATTGTTTGAATATTTTGTTTATTTGTTCTAAAGTGTCTTTGTACTTCTTTATTTTCTAAACTACTAAGTATCTTTAATTCAATTGTTTTGAACTACTCTGCTTTTTTTTCTTTACTCAAATAGCCTTGATAGTTTTTAAGTTGCTACTATATAATTAGCTTTTCTTATCTTGTATTAAGCAACTAATTTAGATATATTAGACCTGTTTTATTTATTTTAATCTCTTTTTTTTTTTACAAATATGTATTTACAAACTCTCATATTTTAGTATCATACTTAAACATTGTCTATAGTTTGCTTTCTGTTTTTATATTTATTTTTAATTTTTTTGCTTTAAGTATTGTTAAACATGCTAAGTTACTTTTTAGACATGTTTTAATTTCTGGTATTTTCTTTGTCTTTTATATATGTTCTGCTAAATCTGCTCTTTGACAGCCTTGTGTTATTTTTAGTTTTGTTAGTTGTTCAAGACTGTTCTGTCTGTTTAGTTTTGCTAAAAGACTATTTACTTGTTTTATAGTTAATTTTTACCATAATATTCTATAGCTGCCAAGATCTTTGTGTTTTATTATGCAGTTTTTTACTGTTCTTTGCAAATTGATTTTTTGTTTTGCCTAACTTATTATTGATTGGTGTATTTTATTTAAATTTTTGTCTAATATTTTTATTAATTGTAGCATATAGCTTAATTTGAATATAATTACTATATTGTTTATATATGCAATCTGGCTTATTATCATTTTTTTATACTTCAGATCTCTTATAGTTTGACTTATTATCTCTTTTGCCTTCTTCTTTACTTGTATTTTTCATATTCTATTGTTTAACTATATTTCTAATAAGTAAACTATTTTATGTTTTGATTCTTCTATTATTCTACTTTTTCTATATATTATTGCTTTTTTTTCTTTTTTAATTTTTATATTCTTTATTATTAGTTTTGATTTGGACCCATTTACCTTTATAGTATTATTTTAAAAAACTCTTTAGCTAGTTCTAAAATCTCTAATAGTTGTTTTTTGCTATTTGTAATTTATGTTATATCATCTGCATATACAATTGCTACTTAATAATATCTTGTAATATTGTTGTATTGCATATTTTTTTGATCTTACTACTTAACTATATACTCTAGGCTTTCATCTTCTTGAATTCTTTCTAGTAGTAGATTATAAAAAAAATACTATATTATAATAAAATTATTTCATCTTGGTCTATTTTATCTTTTGCTATAATTTTTTTTATTAGACTATAAGTTGTAATTATCTTTAATTGTCTTTTGTAAAAAAGGTTTAATATGTATTTAATTGTGTTTTTGAATATTTTAACTTTTTACAATACTAATTCAAGACTTTCAAGAGACACTGAATTAAATACCTTTTTTATATCTTATAGCAATATTTATATATATATTTTTTTCTTTTGTTACTTTTATTATTATATTTAAAATCTATACTGGTTGCTTTGTTGAGTTCCTGAAAGGTCTGTGAAATTTGATCTTCTAAGTTTTTCTTTTTTTATAAATATTTTGGCAAGTCTTTTTGTTATCATCTTTGTTATGACTTTTTTAAATATTTCAATTAATACTATTAGATAGATATTGTTTAAACTATATTTCTACTTTATATCATTTGGTATTGAGTAAGCTTGTACTATTTTTCATTTTACTGAAATTTTTTCTGCTTCTAAACATAAGTCTGCAAAGTTTCTAAAAACTTTTTGTATTTTCTTCTCTACTTTTTTGATCAGTATATAGCTTATACTTGAGATACTTGAAGCTATTTTTGTCTTTAATTCTCTTAGTATCTCTTTCTATTTTTTCTTTTTAATTTTTTCTTTAACTTCTGTATACTAGTTCTTTTTAATATTTTTTCATAATTTATACATTTTTTTCTACTTCTTTGTTATCATTTCTAGTTTAGTGTTTTTTTTTCTAAACTGTATTTTGTAATGTTTTGTTATATTTGTCTTAACCTTTTTTGGTTTTGTTATTAGATATGTCTTTTTTTCTACTTATTTGATAAGTCTATCAAGTATCATCTTCTTATATGATCTATTTAAAAGACTAACTATTATTTTTCTTTAGTTTGTTTTAATCATTTCATAGCTTTTATCTATATTTTTTTCTATTTATCTTCTTTGTATTTGTTCTTATTTTTTCTTCTTTTTTCTTTATAAAAACTTTTGTCATTCTTTTATATCTTCTATCCAAGCATTTAATTATTGCTTTTGTAATCTTAACAACCTTGTATCTAATTTATTGTTTAGCACTTTTATTTATTTATTTGTCTTGTCTCTTTCTTCTTCTGTTACTTTTTGGTTCTTTTGTATCTTCATATATTTAATTAATCTTTAAAATTTTATAATATTTTTTTCTTATTATTGTTCTTTTTGATTAGTTCTTCTATTTATTGTTGTATTGTATTTTTTTTGAAAGGTATGTGCTTATTTGTTACTATAATAATTGTCTCTTCTATTATATCTTATATATAATTTATTTTGCTTATATATTTTTTTTCATCTTGAGCTTTTTTTTAAATGTTTTTTAAATTTTCTTTTATTTCTAGTCATTTTTGTAACTCTTGTATATAATTTTTTTAGTCTTCAGATTTTGCTTAATTATATAAATATAAAGTTCTTAATTATTTTTTTCTTTTAATCTTTGACTTGTTGTTTTTTCTTATTATGTTCTTAATTCATATTTCTGTTATTATTATTTTATAATCAAGTATATTCTTATAAATAATATATTTATAGAATTTTTAAAATTATTTGTTTAATTTAATTTTTTATAATTAGTAATATTATTTTTTAAAAATTTAAAATTTATTCAGATTTGTCTAATATATATAAGATTAAAATAAACTTTACAAAATTATAGTAGTTTAATAATAAATTCTAACTGTAAGTGTTAATTTTAACCAGATTAGTTGTAAAAATAAGATACAGAAAATTCTGAAAGATTTAGTACAAAATCAAAAATTCTTCATATAAGTGAATTGTTTTAAAAACTTAATGATTATAATATATTTTTACCAGTATCAATTAGAGTTATTTGTAGATTAGATAGGTAGATAGGTACAAGAACTAGAGTATTTAAATAGGAAATTATAAGCAGGTTCCAGTTATGACAACTAGTATAGAACTTTTAGATAGTTTACTTAAATTATACAATTACTAAAGTTGTAAGAATAGCTAGTTGTATACTCTTTCTATAGTTGCTCTTAATACAACCATTAGCTAAATGTACTATCAATAAAATCTTGGATCACAAGTACTTATCTTAATATTTAAAAAAATAAGCCTTTTAATTTATTTTATAAAATATAATGTATTAGAAGTAATGATATTATTTAGTTATAATAACAAAAAGACAAACCATGTTACTAGAAATTTCAAAGATAATAATAATAAAGAATTATAATTAAATACACAATATAATTCTTCAATACATCTATAACAAAAAGTTAAGCTTGTATTAAAAACATATCAGACTTTGAAATTTATGTTCTCTATTCAAACATGGTTTAGAAAAACAACTTTAGTAAAGGATTTATATATAAAAAAATGTTCATAACAAAAAAAAAACTCTTCTATTGTTTCATGAAAACTGTATAATAGTATTAATTATGTCGTTTTGTCTTCTCATTTATTTTTATAATTAACAATCTTGAATTACAAAGTTAAATAGGAGAATCTATTCCCCCGTTGGTGAAAAAACAATCTATCCTCATAAAACTATCAAAAAAACGTATGTACGTACTTAAATACGAGTGTATATGTTGCAAGTAAGAATGGAATTTAAGTGAAAATTAAAATTTTAGGGTTAGGGTACAGGTTTATATGAAATAAATTCTATCCTAAAGATTCTAGTTTTATTAAGAAGTTACAAATCCATTTAAATTCTATTCTCACCTACAACATATTCATACGGTCGTATATACGACCATGAGCACGCACATGTATTAAATAATTATATTAATAAAAAAAAAGTGGGTTCCTCCTATACACCACGATGGTAGAATGATATAAAACACATTTATTATAACTATCTACTTTTTTTTTAAAAAAAAAAACTTTTTAACTCATTACAATTCTATTAACGTCAAAAATTTTTTGGGGGGTTTTTCCTACAAATTGTAATTACTTGAGTGTTTTTAATATTTTAATGAATTATTATAGAAATTATCGATTTCAATGGAATGTAAAGTTTAAATAGTTTTCATTGTGCTAAATGAAAAGCATAATAAGTCATTGAAATTAATCTTTCGGCAGGGAAATTTAGGGCCAATCGCATAAAATAATTTGCGGCATCCGGATCTTTTTCGAGTAATTTATCAAAGTCAGATTTTTCCATCTTCCATAAGGTACAATCATTTTCTGCAATTAAAGTTGCATCCCTTTTCCTATCTGTAAAGAAACCTATTTCGCCGGCCATAGTACCTGGTAAGATAGTTTCAACAGGCCGAGAAGGATCACCTTCTGTTGCACGCCACGTAGCACGAAGTATACCACGTTCAACAAGGTAAAGACAATCTGGTTTATCTCCTTGAGACCAAAGGGATGCCCCCGAAGGGACTTTTACTTCATGAAAATATGGTGCAATACGACCGAAGAATTTTTCTAAATATTCCTCTTTCTTGTCCGTCATATCTTGGAATGTATCCATGAGAACACTTGTAGGTTTATTAGAGTTTTTAGTACTAGGGTTAGGGAGAACTGTATTTAAATATCATTAAATACATTAAATAAAGATTTTTTTTTCGTTGAACCAAAAAAAATTTAAAATTAATGGTTTTTACCGGAAAGTATGCTTGCTCCTATTTTTTTAATATGACCTTGACGTGGAGAGGATATGTCAGAAATATCACCAAATGGTCTAGCCTGTATAGGCTGTATTGTACTATCGGCTATTATAAAATAAATAAATAAAATCAATTACAAACACATTAAATATATTGTACAAAAAACGATTAGAAAAAAAAATAATAGGTATTCACCAGTCGGATTTGAAATTAATGAGGATACACTTTCATAATATGCTTGTAACAACATATTCTCACAATGTTCAAGTGACTCATTAAAATTTTCATAAATAAGTAGAGAGTTATCAGAACTAAATGGTTCATCTCTCCACATTCCAATAGCTCTAAGAGCCTTTCCTACTTCAGAATGATAAGAAGCACCACAAAATACTAGATAAACATTTTTAACTTGTAAAAGTCTTAGAATTCTGAAAAATGCTTCAGCAGCACTGAAATCCAAACCACTAACAAGGTTAAAGTCCAAAATCAGAAAACGAATTGGATTTCTTCTCCATTCACTATAAGTTAATATTCTTCGAATTTCTTTTTCTACACCACTAATTGTTCCAAAAAACAAATAACCTTGAAGCCTGATAGCATAAATTTGGCTACCAACATATTTAAGAAACTTTTGTTGACGATAACGACGCCTAACTGTAGATGAAACAGAACTTCCTGAAAAGGTAGCACGTATCGCACTCTTACGAGAGTTTGAGACCACAAAAAATATGCAAGCCATTATGATTCCCAAGAAAATTCCTTCAATAAAACCAAGAGAACTCATGGCAACAACAATGGCAACAATAGTAAAATATTCCATACGGTTGACAATTCCCCAAGTATCAATCAAAGCCTCCTTCAATAAATCTAATCCAAGATGAAAAATAAGAGCACCAACTACCATTACTGGGATGTAACCAACGATCCAAGGGCCCACAAAAAGAATGATGGCAGTTCCAGCGGCAAGCATTAACCCGGCAACGCGACTATCACCACCGGATTTAATGAATAATACAGAATTGGTATATACCAAATAATCTGCATATTAATAGATTTAATAATTGGAAGAGATAAACATATAAGCTTATTTTAAATGAAAAAAAATAATAACAATAATAACAATGATCGTAAATTTCTTACTTTGAACACTGCCACATAAACCAGATGCCACGTTTGATATACCATGAGCAATCAATTCACGATTGGTATCCACATTGTCCTCATTAAGTGATACGCCCAAAGCTGGAACATTTATTGGTACATGTAAAATTCCTACAAAGTTAAAATTAAAATTATTAACGAAATAGTTTAAAAAAATAAATTAATCAAATTTAAAAAATGAATTAAAAGACAAATACCAAAAAATGTAAGAGCAAACATTGCAGGAATTGTTTGAATTAATGCACCATAGTTTATATTGGTAAAATCTAATTTAAAAAAGAATTTATACAGTTAAAACCATTTAAACTTAAGAAAATTCGGTAAAAAGAAAAAAAAATTAAATACCGACCAAACCGGGTAAGATAATTATACCAGGGAGCATCACTTTCAGGTAGTTCAAAAACCCATTTTTGATCTCTTAAAAATTCCCATGAGAAATTACATACGAAAACAGTGATATAGAATAACATAGGAACAATCATAAAATAAATTGGGACGACAAGGCAATGATGAATTTTGGATTGAAGTATCCTCAAAAGTATTGCCAAGCCTAATGCAGAACTCCATAAGGCAAAGTTGTGGTCTTTGAGGAAGAGTTCGTAAAGCATTTCAGGGGAAAACGATAAATTTTCTTTAAGACGCACGCAGACCTCGATAGCAGTTGCAAAAAGAAACCATCCGACACCACCTAATATAATAAAAATAGTCAATCAAGTAATAGTGAAGTAATGAATTTTTTAAAATAATTAATATATACCAATGCATCCAACTAAAATGTGCCTAGGAAAAAATTCAATCAAGGAACCAAGCTATATTTGAAAAAAGGACCAATTGTTATTGTTGGTTATGAAAATTGTAGAACGTAATTATTAATTAAATACTTACTTTTAAAGCACCCATTAACCAAAACACAGCACCGGTTAAAATAGAACTTAGCGCAAAAGAGAGCATTGTAGTAGCAATGATTGTATTGTCATCACCAGCTTTAGGACCACCATTTTGGACAGCTAGTGCAATAGTTTCAGCCCTGTTTAGAAAAAAAATATAGGATTGAATTCATTTTCCAATGCAATCAGATTCAAAGCTATTAAAATTCATTATTGTAGAACTTACATTAAATGCAAGAAGGGTACGACTAAGTGGATTTACGTATAGGTGAAATATATGAAAAAAAATGGCACAACATTAGACAAATAAATCTTAAATAAAAACCTAAAATAAAAACATAAAAAAAAACATATATATGTATATATATATAAACCTTCAATCATCATACTGCCATTACCACCTCCAAAAATACTTCCACCACCAGAATACACTACCTGAGACACGAAGCAACTACAAAAATGAAATAATTTTAATAAAAGAATTAAAGGATACTTGTAATAATGAAAATATTAGTAGTATTAATATACCTAACAAAAAACATTGAAATTCCATCCGGACCAAAACTACTAAATATCGGGTTACTTATTGGGAAAGTAATTAAGCCTATTTAAGGATAATCATATAAATACATATAAATATTTTATATTATTTAGATTTATTTAATAAATTAATCAAATACTGAAATAAATGATTACCATAAGATATAGCATCTAACAGGTTTAGTAAAAGTCCAAGAATAACCGCCGGTATATAAGAGATGGGATTAAGAATTACCTGCCGGAAAATATTTTCCGGGGTACATTTAAAACTTGACCTTCGTCGTTCATATCGGTCACCTCCAGTGCAAGGTAGCCAATCGTAGAATTTTTCAACAAAAGAGCGTTCTTCAATAGAGGGATCATCGGAAGGTATCCAATTTCCGTAATTGAGAGGAAAGTTAGAGTTTTCAAGTAATGGTCTGGATTCATTCATAGGATCAATATACTCTGGATTTTGAGATTCGTTAGGAGCTGTAATGTTTATTGTTGGGGGAATTGAATCATGGGCACCATCAACAGCAGTAGTTTGCTGAGAAGTTTCTCGAGGTGGAGAAGGAGTTTTTTGAAGAAGCAATGATAAATTGCTTTGGCCAGCGGCGGATAATTCACCGGGAGGAGAATCCTTTCTCCTATCGACATCACCAAGAGCAATTGTTTGATTACGGATCCTTCCAGGAGAAGCAGAATATGACGGTTGACCTAATGTTAAAAGTAATGAAATAAACAAATTGATAGCGATTAATAAATCTAAGTAGAATGATTTAGTCACATGAAATATCACGTTGATTAATTCTGATGATCTTGTGATACGTAAGACTTAAATTACCCGATCAGATAAATCAACTTATCGTAATTTGACAATTAATCAAAGTTACTTGTAACTACAAAGAAAATTGTCGCGTGCGGTATAGTAAAGAAAGAGATCACCCAGAATGTTTTATGAAAGAAAATACATACCATTATCTAAATTACTTTGAGAGCTGAAATGAGAACGAGGGCCAAAACCAACGTTTGGACTTTTTGTCATAGAGAAACCCATTAACATATTATTTAGAGAACGACCTGAGTTATAAGATTTGTTACGAGGAGAAGTACTCGTAGCTACGGGTAGCTCTTCTTCGGTTCGTTCCATATTATTTTGTGAATATAAAATAAAATAAAAAATATACAATAATAAAAAAAAAAAAAAACAAAAAAAAAAACAGACTTTAACGAGAAAAAGTGAGAATAATTTATATATATTATAAATGAATGTCCGGATATATATAGGGTATATAGTTTTTTTGAGTAGACAAGGCTTTAGAATAATGCAGGGATACAATATATTCAGAATCACACAAAATAACCAAATAATTTATCTTGGTAAAGCTAGTACTCGGAGATCTATGCTAAACATATAAAGAAAAGCGGGAAAAGAATAAATAGCTTTAGAAGGTTAATCTCAAAATTCTGCGGTCGACTCACACAAGATGCTGATTGAATAGCTGATATCTATCGATATGCACACAAATCAAATCTCATTTATAGATCTTTTGTATCTTTTTTTGGATTAGTGTAGAATCTGTTTAAATAATATTTTTGTTACACTCCGCCAATATAAATAATCTACACTAGTACATGTTTGATACAATTGATGCATTGACTTTTGAGACCGAGAATAAGAAATACCAATTGTTTTTTTGATCTTCAAGCATTTTTCTGCGGAAAAAAAAATTATCATTGATTATCTGCGCACATATATGTTTTAGTTTAAACTTGCATATATATATTAAAAATAATCTAAGCTTCATTTCTGACTAAAATTATTCGATTAAAGAAATCTTTTGACAAATAAATCGACAAATAAGTTATTAAAATGAATTCTTTCATTGGTTTAATCATTAAAGTATTAATGTTTAGATATACAATGCATTTTAAATCTATAGTTTATATCACATTGTTTATTCAATCACTCTACTTTTTAGCACGAATGATTTTTTTTTAAAATCCGGATTGACTTTATATTGACCCTTTCTGTCAAAAATGTGTATGTACTCTCATTCCTCAAACCTATCCCATAACCCAGCTATTAAATTACGTTATCGGGTTTAACCGTCAAAAAGTATTTGTTGTTATTAATTATTTATAGGCAGACTTTCGTCTGATTGGCTGATGTAAATCAATTGCCCGGGTAACTTATTTATACACTTTAAAGTACTTTTTGAGTATGAAAGTTTCACTACCGAAAAATTCTCCATGAAGGCCATAAACGAACATTAATATTCAATGTTAAAAATAATCCAAAATAATTCAAAATTTGAAATATTTTACTTAGAAAACAAAATGATTATTATTAAATTATATACAATTGTTATATGTTAAAAAAAATAGTCAACTTGTTGAAAAAAAGTAATTGAGCATGTTATAATAAAAGAGCAAACTAACAATACTTTACTTTCTTTTCTTCAAATAGATAATACAATTTGCTTAAATTGTTACAATTGAATTGTAACAAATATTTTATTTGCATTTTAATATGCATATTTAAAAAATTAATTTTTAATATATTTAAAATAAAATATAATAAAGTGAATATAACAACTTAATAAAGTGGATTAGTTGTTATTTTTTCAAGTGGCAAATTAGAAGTTCAAAACCTACTAATAGTGAAAATTTAGATAATTATCTGTATTACAATAATTATTTTTTATTAATTAATTAAGATTAGATATTTGTAATTATAATTATATTAATATAACTAACAGGTTATAAAGCATTTATATAAATTTGCAAAATTAGAAAAACAGAAATCTATTTAAGAAGATCAAATAAAAAAATAATATAATTTTTAATAATACTATTGTAAAGATTAGACTTAAAAAATAGATACTAATATAGAGAAATCAGATAAACAAAAAACTCTAAATAAAAAATATTATTAACTAAATTATTAAAATTTAAATTAAAAGAAAAAAATATTAAGTCAGACTTAATATATAAAAAACAAATCTTAAAAAAAGATATTCATCTAATTGGCTAATACAAATCAATTATTTAAATAACTTATTTATATATTTAAAATACTTTTTTATAACATAATGTTTTACTAATAAAAAATTATTATAAAAACTATTTATAGTTTTAGAATATACTAAAATTTACTATATAAAAGAATCAAAAAAAGATCATTTTTTTATATACGTTTTTTAGAAAACAAAAATACTTTTTTTTAGTAATATTACAAAATTTTATATAATTACTATTTGCAAAAAACAGTTAATGAACTAGAAAACAATAACCAAAAAGTTATTTTTAAAAATTAAATTAATAAAATTTTTTCAAATTAATGAGATAATATAATTTGAAAGTGTGGTGACTTAGTAAAGTAGTTAGGTTGTCAACCCTCCAAGTGGTAGGTTAGGTGTTCAAATTCTATTAACAACAAAAATTTGGATTATCACCTATATAATATTTGTATTATAGCAAATGTTACTAATAATTGAGTTAGTATATCTGTAATGGTAGTCATACCAGTATGACTGGCAGGTTATGAGGCATCTGTGCAATGTTGGAGTTATACAAAAGAATGCAAACTAACAAATCAAGTAGTACAAACATTAGATAAGTTCTTGTGACTATATAAATCTGTTGAAATTAAGTAACAAAAAGTTTATTTGGGAAGATTTGAGTAAAGAAGTAGCTGAATTTTTAATAATTCTATTGTAAAGGCTAGCTTAGCAAAATAGATACCAAGGTCTAGTAACTGGTCATAATAGTTAAACAAACAAGAAACTCTGGATTGGGAGTCTCAGGGGTATCACCAACCAGACTGCCAGAATGAACTAAAGGAAAAGAATATCAGGTTGATCTGATATACTGATAGACTGATCATAGTCTTACATAAACTATTTGGATTAAGAGTTTGATAAAAAGACAGAAATATACTAAAGTACTAGAATTATATTATAAAATAAATACTAAGGTCTAAGTAAACTCTACAAAGACATAGCAGTTTAATGGTTAGCTCTGATCACAAGTGTTGATTCTGCCATAGCAATACCTAGGTCAGCTATAAAAATAGGTACAGAAGGCTCTAGAAGGTTTATCTTAAGAATAAATTAGTTCTAAGATTAAGATGATAATTTAGACATTTGAGTATAATCTAGTGAGTTAATACAGATTACAGGTTCAGAGACTTTAAAGTGAAACATTCAAGTAGGGGTGTTAGGTATGACAATTGGTAAAGAATCTTCAAGTGGACTTCTTAAATAAGTAATATAAAAAAGTTATACATATAGCTAATTGTACACTTTCTTGTAATGATTCATTAAATCACAATACCAATAAGTGATTAATAAAAGTCAAAAAACCAAAGAAGTCATCTTAAAAAAAAAAAAAAAAAAAAGATAATATAATTTGCTTAAATTATTATAACAAAATTGTAGCATATTATAATATATTAAAAATCTTCTTTTTTTTATTTATTAAGGCTAATGTTAATAGTAATTAATGTCTTTATTCATGTTTTTAATTTTATATTATATATTATTTGTACAAAATAAGCATACAACTAATTATATATATAATTTTTAGTTATCTATTTAAGTAGTTTATTCAAAGGTTCTACACTAGTAATATACTTATAATCTACTAAAAAGCTATCTAATTAAATATTTTGATCTTTATATTGCATTCAGACAATTAGCTATCTTAGTTTTTGTATATTTAAATACTGTCTAACTTAATATTATACCTTCTTTTTTGTATATTTGTTAAGCTGTTACTTAATTTTAAAGCATGTTATCTAACTGTAGGCCTTAGAGAGCCTTTCTGTTAACTAATCTATAGATCATTAATAAGGCTTATTCTTGCAAAGTTCATCTAGACCTTAGTATTTACTTTATAGTATATCTTTAATATTTTTAGTATACTTATGTTTTTTCTCTGAACTCTTAATTCAAATAACCAAATAGTAGTAATCTAAATTATTAGTTAAAAAATCAATTAGTTAATAACTTTTTAATTTGTTAATTTAAAAAATTTTAAAACTAACTAAACAACTAAATTATTAATTGGTTCAATTATAAAACATTCTGTTTATTTAAACTAACTTATACTAATTTCTTTAATTTGATTAACTAATTAACAAATTTAGTTATATAATATAAAAGTTGATTAATTACAACTATATTTGACAACTAGTTGATTGACAAAATTTTTATCAACTTGAAATACTACTTGATAGAATTATAACCAGTTTATTAATATAGTAAATTGGCCTAATATCTTTTTCTTTTAGTCTTTTCAGTTAGAATTCTAATAGCCTAATTAATAATACCTTCTATTTAGAAGTTTTTGGCTATCAGATACTTCAAATTGATATTTGTTTTTTAAATCTAGTCTTTATAGTAGTATTGTTAAAGATTTGTATTATCTTTCTATTCAGAACTTACCAAATAGACTTTTTGTTTTCTAATTTCTATAGATTTATATGCTACAAGAACTTATTTTAGGTTTGTACTATCTGTGCTAATTGTATTTTTTTTATAACTAATTATACAGATACTTTATAACTTGCCAGTTATGCTGGTGCAACTATAATTACAGATATCTTAACCTAATTATCAGAAACAGTTGTTGTAATACAAATATTACATAAATAATTATCTAAATTTTTGCTATTAGTAAGTTTTAAGCTCATAACCTACTACTTGGAAGGTTGATAACTTATTTACTTCACTAAGTTGCTACATCTCATATTAAAAATTTTTAAAAAAATATCTATAAATATTTTTACTAATAATTTAATTTTTTTATAAGTTGTAATAATAATTACAAACATTTTTTATAAAAGTAAATATAATAAATTACTAACAATTTAAAATTTTAAAGAATTTTGTGCAATTATAAAATCAAAAGTTTAACTAGTAAAGTTTTTTAATAACTATATTTATTAACTAATTTATAAAGAAAAGATGTAAGTACTATAGAATAAGTATTAAAATAATTAGTATTTTTGTATTATTTTATTTGTAGTATTGGAAATAAGTTTGTTAATAATACAAAAAGAGATCTAGAAATATATTTAGATTTTACAAAAATATCTAACTTTATAATAAACATATTAGTAACTATAAGCTTAACATTAACAAT